TGCGTCATAATCACGTGGCAGTCATGAGACTTTAGCTTCTGAAACTTTTTCTCTGGCATATTTATTATTCCCTTTATATTCGACGAGAAGCCAGTCGTGACCTTCATACTGAGCAGGCATTCAAAGAAGATTTCTTTCTCTTCTTTCGTAAGAGCGTAGCTGGCAGGACCTTTATACTGCTTCGGAGGCATGCCGTCTTTTTCGTGCAAACGTTGCAGGTCCTCTTGATCTTCAGCAGCTTCACCCGTTGCACATCGTCTGGTTCCTCTTGATCTTCAGCAGCTTCACCCGTTGCACCATCATTGGGCACATCATCTGGTTCCTCTTGATCTTCACCAGCTCCCCCCGTTGCAGCATCACCGTATTCAGGGGGGCACATAGTTGTCATCGTACTCTTCTTCTTCGCCGTCTTCCATCATAACCCCTATTTCTTCGTGCCTCGTCCAAACATTATAGTATGGCATGAAACCCTTGTAAAGCAGGTGGGAGTGAAGGATTTTCCGGTTAGAGTAAGACCTCGTATTCCCACATTCAGTGCATGGACAACACATAAAACCATTCTGCTTGTTTGCCTCAGCCGCATCGAGAAACTCATGCACGCCCTTAATGTACTCGGAGGTGTGTCTGTCACCGTACATCCATTGCCGGTTCATCTACGTGCGCTATATATAATTAAGTGTCCAAATTAATAGAAGTTCATCATCACATTAAAACCAAATTACATACATAGTTCTCATCTAACAACATATAGCTCTCTAGAGCATCTAATTAATTAAACCATACATTGAAATTATGTAAAACATTTCAATGCGAAAACAAATGCGATCATAATCGCAACCAAGGTAACAATTGATCCAACGGCATAATGATACCAAGCCTCGGTATGAATGGCATATTTTCTAATCTTTCTAATCTTCAAGCGCATTGCATCCATCTTGATCTTGTGATCATCGATGACATCCGCAACATGCAACTCCAATATCATCTTCTCCTCCTCAATTTTTTTATTTTTTCCTTCAACAAATTGTTTTCTTCTTCAACTAAATTTAACCTCTCGACAATAGGGTCGGTTGGAATTTCGGATTCACATACATCCTACATAATCAAATCTATGTCACGTTGGTCGGCATAATTTTCATAAACAATAAATGAATCAATAGTTATAAAGATAATATATATACCACATCCGAATCATAGACAGGACGAGAGCCGACGGGGGCGGATACCAAAACCATCGCACTATATAAGATGCAATAATAAAAGTAAGAAAATAATACAAGTATCTATGTAAACATACAAGTAAGAATATTTTTTCCTTTCAAAAAGAAGATAAGAACAAGAGGCTCACTACGGTGGTGCCGGCGATGAGCTCGGCGCGGGTGATCGACGGCGGTGAAGACGGGGACGGGGTGTGACGGACCGCTAAACCTAGACAAATATTCAGGAAAATGGAGCTTGAAGGTCGAGCTTGGAGAGGAGAAAGCTTAAGTAGTGTGGCTCGGGCATTCCATCGAACACCTTGTGTGCATAGGAGGTGAGCTAGAGCACCACCAAGCCCTCTCCCCATCAGCCAGAAAAAAACAGAGTAGTGTGCTCTGCTCTTACGCGAGGGGGTATATATAGGCACCTCATTGGTCCCGGTTGGTGGCATGAACCGGGACTAAAGGGGAGCCTTTGGACCCGGTTCATGCCACCAACCGGGACCAATGGTGGTGGGCCAGGAGCGAGGCTATTGGTCCCGGTTCATCCCACCAACCGGGACCAAAAGGTCCAGACGAACCGAGACCAATGGCCCACGTGGCCCGGCCGGCCCCCTGGGCTCACGAACCGGGTCCAATGCCCCCATGGGTCCCGGTTCTAGACTGAACCGGGACTAATGGGCTGACCCGGCCTGGACCGTTGCCCCCTTTTCTACTAGTGATACCAAACGATCAAGTGCTAAGCTAACGGAATGGGTCAAGTCAATCACATCATTCTCCTAATGATGTGATCACGTTAATCAAATGACAACTCATGTCTATGGTTAGGAAACTTAACCATCTTTGATTAACGAGCTAGTCAAGTAGAGGCATACTAGTGACGCTATGTTTGTCTATGTATTCACACATGTATTATATTTCCAGTTAATACAATTCTAGCATGAATAATAAACATTTATCATGAAATAAGGAAATAAATAATATCTTTATTATTGCCTCTAGAGCATATTTCCTTCAGGATGTTGGTCGTAGTTTTCACAGAAAGGGATCTCGGCGAGAGTCTCACTTCTTACCGTACGCTGGACTTTGAAGTTGCTCAAACGTCACCTGTAACACGGTGATTATAACAACAGCTTACAGGTTCATCGAAAAGTTTGACAAGGGACTAGATAGCTCGAGAGTGGGATTTGTTCCTCCAATGATGGAGATATTCTTAGGGGCCTCCCGGTGCGATGTCATCCATCATCGTTTGGCCAGACACATGTGACTACGTCACGGGGATGCCGAAACACGACAATGAGAAAAGAGAACAAAACCGGTAATGAGGATTTCGGTATAGTGAGCATGGTGATGACTCAGGAGGATACCGATACATCCCGGGTTTTGTGAAGTATTGCGGAGCAAAAGGAACATCACATGATAACTAAAGGTTTACTCGAATATCATTTGTGTGCTCATAGGATCGATATGGATGTCCATGGTCCCGATGTCGACCATTGAACGAACGATTTCGTTCATGTCTATGAGTTAACGAACCTATAGGGTCACAAGCTTAAGGTAATCACGATCTGCTGAGTGTTAGTATGACGGAAGTGATGAGAATGTATTTATAAAATTGTTTCATTAATAGTCGGAAGAGTTTCGAGAGGGTCTGGAAGCATTCTGAGGTCACTCGAAGGGTTTTGGTGAATATTGGGTATATATATGTGAAAAATGTTTTCAGTGATGTTAAATTATATGTAAAATGGTCTGAAAGTATTTAGAACATTTATATATATATGATTTAATATCAACGAGTCTAAATATGCCAAGAGGTGGAAGACAACTGTGACCAAAAAAGCCCAAATGGGAAAGTGAAGAAGGGAATGAGGCATAATTGGGAGAGGGGAGGAGTCAAACTCCTCCTCCCTGGACGGCGCACCAAAGGGGGCTCTTTCCCCCTTGGTGTCAGCCCTCCCTCTCCCCTCTGTCCTATATATACATGAGGATTTATGCTCTTTTGATACACAAGTTTTGAAGCCTCCTTTAGTTCTTCTAGTTATAGTTTCAGTTGGTCCTAGATGAGCAATTAGAGCTAGACTAATCCTCTTGTCCTTATAATTAAAAGCCCCATGTGGTTCTAATCTCCTCCCTCTCTAGTGACGATTAGCTCTGGACAGCAAAGCGTTGCCGGATTGTCAAGGTTGCACGCTTGCAACCAAGTAAAAAGATCGTGCTTTCGGTCTTCTGTTCAAGGAACTGTTTGTGGGCGATTCGCGGGATCATTCATCGGCGGTTCGAGGGACTCCAAGTATGATCTACACCGACAAGTTTTCTTCTTCCGCTGCAACTCGGTGACTATAACGATTGTGATCCCAACCCATTATGCTTCTTCATATTGATCTTGGGTGATCGTAGGCACAGGATTTTTTTTGTCTTCTACTATGTTTTACAACATGTACACGTGTGCATAGAGTTAAGAGCATCTTGAATAGAAGATGTAGATACAAAAATAACTAACTTTTACATCTTCAAGGCCCAAAAACCTCTCTCCAATAGATGATGTAAAATGCCAAAAAATTACATATCCGCCTTCCGAAGATGTAAAATACAACACATCGCGATGAAAATATACATCTTCACTTACAGAAGATGTAAAAACGCCGGGCGCGTGCCAACCGCCAACCGCCTTCATTTCGTTTCTGTCTGCCGGCCCGCCGCTAGGGCCATGGCCGACTCCGATGACCCCGCCGCCACCTTCGTCACCGTCACGTTCGGTTTCGTCGCCCCGCGCCACCCTCTGCCTGAAATTGGCTACATCGACCACTTTTTGCTGCCCTGACGCCGCCGGATTCAAGTTCCCCCGTCGCACTAGCGCTGCCAGATTCCCCTGCAGACCCGCCGCCACGCCGCCGCCGCTTCCGCCGCCCGATTCGAGCTTTTGGCGCCGCTCCTTCGCCGTTCGATTCGAGTTACCACCGTCGGCCATTCAAGCTCCCGACGTCGTCTGATTCGAGCTTCTCGCACCATTCCGCCACCGGCTAATTCGAGTTACCACCGCCGGCCATTCAAGTTAACGTCGCCGCCTGATTCGAGTCCCCTCCGTGCCGCCGCCGCATGATTTGAGTTACCGCCACTGACCATTCGAGCTCTCGCTGCCACATTCGAGTTCCCGCCGCCGGCAAGACACTCAAGCGCCGCGCCGATCCTCGTCGCTCGGCCGCCGGCGCTCCTCTGGAAGCTCGGCCGCTGCCGCTTGATCCGTTGGAATATTAGTTTTACATCTTGAAATACATCATCGGTTGAAGTTGGCTCTTTTTTGAAGATGTAAAATGATGTTTTTACATCTCCTGTTTACATCTTCAAATTTGCATCTTATATTAGTGATGCTCTAAGTGTATGTGCGTATATGTAAGCATCTGCGTTTGTATTGTGTAAAAAAATTATAAAAATGAAAGCAAGATGTGAAGAAAAAGAAAGAGAGAAGGAAAGAAATTTCTGTGCCGTGTATGCATCCCCTCTTTTGCTCCTGCTCCTCAATCTTCATCCCCGGTCCTCGCTCTCGCACGGCCGCGCCGGCGCCCGATTCCGCGGTCTCCGTTCCCGCTGGCGAGCGGTGACATCCTGGATACCTGAACGGCTTGACCCATCGGGGCATCGAGCTCGAGGTAACCAGTGGAAGATACTCTGTCAGACTTTCAGCACTGGCTCGGCGGTGTTCGTATTGCTCGTGTGATGCCGGAATTTTTCTTTTGACGAAGGTGGCTCCGCCGCTAGAGCACCTGCAGTAGATTTGCCGGCTGGACTCGGGTGGGAGTCCCCATGGCGTGGATCTGGGTGGTCGCGGCGGCCGGAGCAATCCTCTTACTGTGGGCGGTTTCCCTCGGCCGGATCCTCTCCTCCCCGGCGCTCTACTGCCTGCCTCCGAGCCCCCGCTTCTCGCCCCCTCTCCACGGCGACAGGAGGAGCAGGAACGTGCTCCTGGTGCTCGCCCACCCCGACGACGAGTCCATGTATGTATGTTGCGCCTCCCTTCCTCTGCTTCCTGTATGCCCTGCGCACCAGGTGCTCGACGAAATTCATGCGGTGTCCAACTCGCGTGGCAGGTGTGTAGACCACGTAGGATAGCGCGTATTGGTTGAACGGAATCAAATAGCTTGTGGTTCGACTCCGACTGAGAAATGGCGCCGGTCCTATCCATGTGCTGCCCGAGTTTCAGTCTGGATATCATGTGTTTTCACCTTACTTCTGGTCTGGTGCTTGGCCTGATTTACTTTTATATGATTTCATTCCTATCTAATGCAGGTTTTTTAGTCCAACGATTCTTTTCCTCGAATCAAAAGGTCACAAGCTTCATGTTTTGTGCATGTCTCTTGGTAAGATTGCTACCTATGGTCATGTATGTCTCTGTTATGCAGAGGCCGGGCGTTGCTCATCATGATTTGTATCCGCTTGATGCTAAATTTTGAGTCAATAAAAAATGCCCTTTTATCGGAAAAAATGTATGTCTCTGTTCTTTGTGCATCTTTCTGTATGTCCAGGAGTGGCCATGTGTTTATCCATTCGTTTGACCAAAGTATAGCATATGCATACAGGACTATTTTCTATACTCTGAACATTTAAGCTTGTGCCTGGCTTACCAAAATGATAGATACAGAGCAGAGCTGCACGTTTTACCACTAGAAATCAGTTTCTCTAGCGTGTAATACAAATACACAAGTGCTTCTTTGTGTATTAGAGCTGTGCTTGGCTGATTTTTCCATGTGGTCACTACCACTTTTACAGGTAACGCTGATGGTTTCGGAGATACTCGTAAAGAAGAATTGTACAATGCATGCGCTACTCTTAAGGTACTCGTGGTCCTTCACTTCTCCATAGTTCCCTCTGGGGAGCAAGCTTTGTTCTGCTCATGATTAGGCTCCCATAATTGCAGATTCCAGCTGAGCAAGTTGCAGTCTTGGACCATCAAAATTTGCAGGTTGTCTGTACTCATTTTTCATGATCCAGATACTATTCCAAACACATATTGACAGTTGAGCATGCCCAATGTGTATTGTAGGATGGGTTTCATGAGGAATGGGATCATGGACTACTAGCAGAACTTACCATGGAGCAGATCCAACTGTGGGATATCGATACAGTAATGACTTCATCCCAGTCCTCACATGACTCCTAACCATAATGTACTTCTTTTACCAGCTGCAGTACTCGGTTGTAGTCATAAGTCTTACATTGATTTTGCCAGTTATAAATATATTTTAGAGCATCGACCTGAAGGAGCAGATATGAAATGTGTTCATCTGCATATACCAGACTACCGCCACATCACTACTGCTGTAGTTTTATTTATTTCCCCCCAAAATTGAATGTTTAAAGGAACATTTCACAACCTTTCACTAGTTATACTTATTCCAGAGAAATGCCGTATTGTCTGACACTATATAAGCTATCCCCACTTCGAAATCTCTACGCAATCCCACTGCATGCAGTTACTAAGTGTATGATTGTGCAGTTCAAATGCTCTTATGTCTATTTCTGTGGAGCTCTCAAACTGATTTGCATTCTCGCCCTTCAACTTTACCTACTTACTGCTGCAATATGTCATGTTTTAGATTGTGACCTTTGATTCCTATGGAGTATCAGGCCATCCGAATCATCGTGATGTTCATCATGGCATATGGTTAGTTAACTTCTTCTCATTTTGTTGCTACAGTACATTAGTTTCTCAGATTTTTTTTTACTTTTGATTGTTTAGATTACATATATATGTTTATCATATTTTTTTGGTACATGTGTGTTGTGTTGTTCTAGAATCTAAACAGTTTTATTTTTGCTATGAACAGCAAGCTTCTTCATGAGAATCAGCAAGAAAATATTGAAGCGTGGGAACTTGTAAGTTTCTGTACAGTAGCCTTCATGTGGTCTGAAAGAGCATGCAAACATGTGGTGCTATTTTTTCATGTGGTGTGCTTAAAGGCATTTATCTCGTCATTTTTGTACGATCGGAGAGGTAGAAACCAATAATACTGTGTTATACGTTCTTTAAAAATGATATACTGCTCATGCCCGTATCTTGGTTAATTTCACTATGATATTGGTATCAAGATAGATAATTTCTAATTATAACATATGACATAAGGAATACATAATTTAGTTGTGTTCTTATGAACAGACTTTGGACAATACCAGTCAGTTTGACGTGTTTTTTTCTCGGTCATATAAATGTATCATAGTTCATCACTTTTTTTGATGGAGTAAATTAGCTGGAGCTAACATGATCTATTTTTTTTGGAAATGTAGGTAAGCCTGAACATGTTTCGGAAATACAGTGGTGCAGTTGAAATTTGGTTATCTCCGTTGATCTCGTCAAGTTCAAAGCAACTGGTATGTTGTCTAGTTAACTGTAGCCCTTCCAGAACTTTTAAGGCAATGGCTGCACACAGAAGCCAGTGGGTTTGGTAAGTGGAGTCGGCAACATCTCATTTTCTAATGTAAAAATTGCACTTCAACAGAATGGTAGAGGTCAATTTCATAGTCGGAACTTTGCGAACAGTTTATTTTCAACCTTGTAATCTTCTTGTCAATATCATATTATATCCAACATTAGAAGCTCTAATGACCAATCTCAAAATTATCAATGTTGTTGGTTTCTGTACTATGTGCATTATATAATGTTCAAGAAAATAAAGTATTTGTTTTGTTTTTGTTTTTTGCAGGTTTAGAAGATTGTTTGTAACACTTTCAAGTTACACGTACGTAAACATGCTCCAGAAATTTTAGCATTCGATATTGATATGTACCTTGTCAGTCGATCTGGATTGTAAATGTGCCTTACAGCACACTTTAAGCAAAAGGCTTCCGATGATCAAGAACAGCAATTTCCAGATCATATCCTTTACTACACAGTGAAAGTTTGTTATATAGAGTCGATCATGTTGATACAATGATACTGAAACTTTTAACCCTACCCAAGTGATAGTTCTTGCTAAAAGCCTTATTCCAGTGTTATTGCTGGCAACAATGGGTGTTTAATGCACCTCTCTTGTACTAGTATTTGCTTTTTTTTGGAGGACTTCTTATAGTATTTGCTACTAGTACTTTCCATTTTTGCGGCCCAATGCAACGTGTGCGAGGCCTGCTGCTTACGGCTGCCTTGTTTCGTTTTTCCCTCCGCAGACTTTGGATTCCATTTTTTTTTTTGAACTCGACCTTGGATCTCCTTTTCCCCTGAAAAAAAAATACACAGGCCAACTTTTATTTTACAACAAAATTGGAATAATTTACAGGTTCCAATAATTTGTGTGACCTTGTGCAGCCTCATGCACGAGTCAACTCAAGTCAAGCTAGGGAAAAGGGAGGGGTTCCAAAGACAACCCAAGACGTAGAGAACAAATCATGTTGCATAGCTGGTTTTCTGCACTAGTTATGCGGCGGCTAGGCTCCACGTTGTCGGCAGGCTTCGTCCATGGTAAGGCGTATCCGTGTCCAACTCCAGCCTATGCAGTGCAGAGACGTACCAATCTCCGTGTAACGTGCGTGTGTGTCTAAGTAAATATATGGGTCTGTCTAGGACACATCTAAGTTGATGTTCACTCTGCTTGTGGTCTATTTTTTTTGTCTTGGTTTTTCTTTTGTTTCTTGTTGCTGCATTATATACTTGTGGGAGTTTAGATGTGACATCCTTAAAAAACATCTAGATGTGACTTAGACAAACTGTAAATATATAGACCCGCCCGGTAGTGTGACTATCAAGAACGAGATCGAGAAGCCTACTCATGGCTGGACCTGACGAGGCCAAGATGGCGGCAATGGTGCGCTCGTGGCCGTGGGTCGGCATGCTGATGCCGATGGTGCTCCGCCACCTCCGCAAGTCGGCGTGGCTCTACCTGATGCCCATGGTGGCGGCGTGCGTGCCGATCGGGGTGCTGAGGGCCTACTTCGAGCGGAGCCTCCGGCGGTGCGTCCGGCGGCTGCTCCCGTTCTTCGACCCGTTCATCACCGTCGACATCGCCAGCCTGCGCGAGGACTACATGGACAAGATCAAGTCCAGCGACGCCTACGAGGAGGTCAAGGCGCACCTGAGCGCCGCGTGCTCGCGGGAGGCGCGCCACTTCCGGGCCGAGGGCGCCGACGAGGGCACCGGCTTCGTGCTCAGCATGCGGGAGGGGCAGGACGAGGTGGCCGACGAGTTCCGGGGCGTCACCATCTGGTGGTCCGCTCTCAAGGAGGACGACTACGACATGCGGAGGTGCTGCCGCCTCACCTTCCACCAGAGGCACAGGAAGCTCATCGTCGACGAGTACCTCCCGCACGTGCGACGGTGCGGGCGCGCTGCCATGTCCGGCACCCGCCGCCGCCGCCTCTACACCAACAAGACCAACCTCAGCTACTCGTACGTGCTAGTCTCTTCTTACTTTACGTACTACTTCTAGTAGTTAGTATTTTATTTGCCGTCAACTCATATGATCAAGAATTTCCTTCTCACAGTGCTAGCAGGAAAGACGTGTGGAGCTACATCGACTTTCACCATCCGACGACGTTCGAAACCCTCGCCATGCACCCCGACAAGAAGCAGATGATCATCGACGACCTCAACGACTTCCGCAGCAGCGAGGACTACTACCTCCGCATCGGCAAGGCGTGGAAGCGCGGCTACCTCCTCTACGGCCCGCCGGGAACGGGCAAGTCCACCATGATCGCTGCCATGGCCAACTACCTCAACTACACCGTCTACGACATCGAGCTGACGACGCTAAAATCCAACAATGACCTACGGAAGCTCTTCGTCGAGACGACGGGCAAGTCGATCATTGTCATCGAGGACATCGACTGCTCCCTCAACCTAACCGGCAGCCGCGCCGCCATGGCCCAGACAAAGCGAGCGGACGGGGCGCCCAAGAAGGGCAGCGTAGTGACGCTGTCCGGACTGCTCAACTTCATCGACGGGATCTGGTCGGCACACAGTGGCGAGTGGATCATCGTGTTCACCACCAACCACCTGGACAAGCTCGATGCCGCGCTAATCCGGCGCGGGAGGATGGACTTGCACATTGAGATGTCCTACTGTGGGTTCGAGGCATTCAAGCGAATATGGCGAATCCTAACCAGTTGAGCGCGTAACGCGTATCACGCCCGTCGCTGCTGCCTATGGATCCGCGCGCTGTGGCCCACTGGGTCCCAGCCAAAGGTCCACTTAATTTCAGTTCCCACCGCTATACGGGTGAAATACAGTCAAATCGTACCTGTGCAAATCCCATACGGCCGTACGTAAGCCACCCGTGAGACCCGCAGCTACACCACCACCACCACCCATCGCCACCATCACTCCATCGGATTTCAAATTTTGAATCCCCTCAGCCAGATTCTGCTTCTCTCCCCGGTGACCCACTTGCGACGCCCCATCGCACAAACGCCGTCGGGACTGACTTCGTCGCCGGTCTCAAGTTCGCCGCCATCCAAAACAATCAATCCTCATGGGGAATCTCTCACAGATCTGTTATTCAGGTACATACTCTCAAAAGTTTGGATCTTTTTCCGTCGGTTTCTCTCGCATCTGACTGAAGAAGTCAATCGCCATGAACAGCTTTCGCTCCGCTCCCTCCGATCCGGTCTACGTTCCAGTCTAGGGAACGCCAGAGGAAGATGAATGTTGGTCGCCAACAAGGCACTCCGGTGCTCCTTCATCGTTAGAGGATTGGGCTCCTTCCCCGTCTAGCCACGGACAAGTGAAGTGCCTGAGTCAAATTCAGATGTCTCGTCTACTCCGTGGATTGCAAGGTACTCCCTCCGTCCGGAAAAAGTTGTCACCGTGTACATTTTGCAGAAAACACCCCCAGCTTCTCCCGACACAACCCGCACTCCACGCCGCCCATTCTTCCCCTCGCTACCCCATTCATTCGTTGCTTGCTCGCCGGCGACGCCGTGACGCCGCGCCGCCTCGATCCCTTCCTCCCTCCCCACGCCCCACGTCGCCTTGCCCCTCCCTCCCCACCTCCGCCCACGCCGGTGCCACCTTCTTCCCCCATGCCTCGTTTGAAGCTTCGAATTTTGCCCGAAGGTTGGATTTTTGCGCGGCGGCCTAGCGAGGCGTCCAACCCCGAGGACCACTGGCCATGGCGGCCGCCGTCCATGTCTACCTCCTCCGTCAGCCTCCTCCTCGAGTGCCCCCTCTCCGTCTGCCGCCTCGTCAACCCGGCCTCTTCTCCTGCCATGGCGCTCCCCCCTCCCGCCTTCCAGTCTCCGCTCCTCCCTCCCCGTCGGCACCTGCCAACTACCCGGCGACCCCTAATGGCCCCCTCGTCCGACCACCTGCTCGCCGTCAACCATGAAGCCCGCCCCCTCCATGGACGTCATCGACCCAAGCACTGGGAAGCACGGGTGGTCAAGGTGAAGGAGCTCACCGTCGAGCTCGCCGGAGCACTACGCGCTCAAGGCGTCCACAACACCTCCACGTGCTCAAGTTCAGAGCTCACCGGAGCTTCAGATCCAGAGTAAGCTCAAGTTGATGCTATAGTTCTGAGCTGAAGTTCATTTGTAATGATAGATGTTGAAGACAGTAGACAATTAGCAAATGTTGAAGACAGTAGACAGATTTGGACTGAATTTTGCTCAATGGATATGGAAAATTATGGTGCACCAGAGTGGGGAAAATTTAGCTACTGCCTGAGCTTTTGTGTAATCTTGGTCAATGTTGAAGACAATAGACAGATTTGGACTGATTTTTTCTTTAGTAATCTTGGTCAATGTCAAAACTGTGAAAACCGAAAACAAATTCGGTAATCTTGGTCAATGTCAATGAGAAACCAGTAATTACGGAAGTCAAAATTCAGTAATTTTGATCTTTTACTACTGGAAAGTCCGATTTTTTATCTTTTATGCTGCATTGCTGAAAATTGACAGTAAATTTTCATGTACTGAAGTGAAGGCTCAATGCTGCATTGCTGACTGGCACATCAGGGGCAAGCAGCAGACCAGAAAATTACAAATGATTTCTTCGCGGAGCGGAAGATTGGTGGAGGTCCATTCGGAAACGTTTATAAGGTTTGGTTATTTTCCTTTAACATCTTCTATCCTTTCCACCAATGTCCATTTGGAGTACTCATACCTTTGTATCTATGGGATTAATAATATAGGGTGTTGTGACAGATGATGGCAGAGTGATTGCGGTGAAGAAACTTCAGGAAAATGCACCGATGCCGCCTGACAAGACATTCAACAATGAGGTTCAGAACATTAGGGCATTACATTTGGCTGTTTCTACATTTCCATGTTTGGAGCTAGGACATTTTGATCTCCAAATGCTAGTTTGACATTTCACTAGCAATTCTGAAATACTCATGCTAAAGGTTGCAGGAAAATGCTTTTCTCTCTATAGTTTGAGCCACGTCTATAGTGTGATCCTTTAAATTCAAGTCATGTACTCCTGGGAGTTGTCTGAATTTTTTTTGTTAGAACTTGGGAATCGTACATGACCTGTAGAACATCTAAAGTTCTGTTAGAAGATTCTGTAGTTCAAGGTTTGGTCCTCGGCCGTCTGTTTCTGCTATCTCCTAATCTTAAATGTGTGTAGTTTGCTCCACAACAACTACACACACTGTCAAAACTGACAAGATGTTATACTGTTGTCAAAACTGAAAACTGAAATTGTTGTCATTTTAACTGAATTTCTCTGAAGACATAATTGCAATGGCTAGTCCCAAAATGGCCGGTTCCAGCCGCTCCCTCCTGTCGATCAGAAATGCAGATCCGCACCGCTCCCCGCTATTCTGAATCAATTTTTT